ATTTCTTAATTTCTCAAATTATTACGTAATAATGGCAAGTTTAAATTCTGTTTTCTCAAATATATTGCAGCTATTTTAAATAATATATTCGTAGCATATCGCTATGGAACTCGAAAATGAATATTCAATTTCGTGACTTTTCGATGATTGCGAATATTTCACGTCCATCGTGAAAACTAACTTTTTTTTATCGTGTTCATAAAGTTGCTTTTCGTTTCTCAATTTCCGGATAAGACAGCATAAATTTCGGTCAACACTGCAGTTTTCCGTTTCTATTTGACGTTTTCAACATTACGTTCGAGTTCCAGGGACAAATAAGCAATCAGCCCACGTGTATGAAATATGCAAATTAATACACGAAAGTCATTAATAATTTCTACGTGTTACATTTGCCAATTCCTTTCGGGATTTTAGATTGACAAATCACGAATTTTCACGCAATTATGGGAAACTGGATGATCCATGTGCATACTACACATATAATATCCAAAATTATGTGAAGGTATACGAAACAGATTATTTAGTGAAACAAACTTCCATTTAGTTAGGTTCATAAAACTTTTAAAATGCATAGTAATCTAGTCCAGTCTGTAGATTAGATTACTATAATTTACTTTCATTCAATAATTCGCATAGATATGTTAAAGTATCTTGAGTTTTAAACAAGTGAACGATATCTTCTTGCATGTAATGAATTATTATCAGAAAGAAATTAGTAGCAAGTTATGTCAAACCGAGCATATTTTTTTCCGGACGAAGAAATACTGTAACTGCTAAACTAGAAACTGCAAAAGGAGAAAAACTATTTTTCTGAAATTTAATAACTGGAATGAGGTACAGAAATATTTCAATCCATCCGGCGAAATATGAATTATTATATTACGTTCAGCGTTCAGTCCATCATCGATCAACAAGCTATTGCAGTTTGGAATCCTTATGGATTGCAGGATTTAGTGAAGAATGTTCATATTTCGAAAAGAATGACAAATCGATGGACGCGCTAGAAAATTGAAATTTTCTTAGAAAATCCGGCGTCGGTGATTCGTAGTATTGAATTCAGAATTACAAAGAGAATAGCTGAAACTGATTTAGTCGGTTTTTAATGTCGAATGAAACAGCAGCGAAAAAGAAATAACTGGCCAAGAATATTGTGTGATAATAATGCGATATTGCGCCATAAAGGAATTCAACGTCACGTGGCGAATTTAAAATTGCATTTTCGTCGAACATGGTTTCCCAAGAATTATATCGATTCACTGTATTAATAGTAAAGTAACGTTGTAATTTGTCATTACAAAATGTTCATTATATTCCTTTGAAAACGTATCGCGACGAGAGATTAAATATATTTTAGAAACTAACAAGTGGATAATAAACTTTCAAAGTTATAATACGCCATTTTTGTAATCTTGATGGACGTCGCGTTTTACACACTGACTCGTGAAAGTTTGAAATTTCATTAATATTCTAATAAAACATAATTGTCATACTATGTACAAAAATTAATATTAATATGATACTAAAAAATTAATATCTTGTCAAATACGGTCTTATTCAATATTTGTTATCCTCTACGAAATATATAACTTATATCAAATATTTATAATTGCTATATACATATATATTTCTTTATTCATTTTTCCGAGTTTTTCCAATACGTATAACGATGATAATTTCAAAACTTTTACCGTGTAACACACTGTTCAAGATGTTTTTAAAATGCTCCGCGTGAAAAGTATTTGAATACTTTTGTGTGAACTTATGTAAATACGCACAAAGAGATTCAATTTCGACATTCATCTCTGTTGCTTCAACCATCTATGCCTTGTTATTTGTCTGTCATTGAGAGTGGTGCTGGAAGCATAAATTTGTTGCTGAGTAGAGGGGAAAAAAAGAAAAAGGGAAGCGAAAGTGACAGTTACGCAAAGCTCGGTTTTCGTCGATTCGGCGATATTTTCTCGCCAATGGGAAGAAGGTAATTTGCTGTTCGGAAAGAAATACCCGGGGCCGAAGTGCCCTCCGGCCGGAACGTGTAATCCTCGGATTCGAAACCCAGCCAATCCCTCCGACGAATCTGCTCCCGAAAAGTTCGCTAAACTATATCTATGGAAAGCTTATTGCCATTGCGAGTCAAATTTTTTTCAACATTCATTTCAACATTCTCGTCGATTGTACACAACGAAACCTATGCATATGTAAATTTCGTTTGTATCCTTTGAGGAAGCTTCTACCTCGTTTTTTAACATCGAGAAGAGAAAAACTGAACCGTGAACAAGCAGAAGCTAGTTTGCCGAATTAAACAAACGAAAAAGAAAAAACTGCAAATTGCGCGAAGCAATTTGGATTTGTTTCATCATCGGTTCCAAGTTGAAATCTACAGGAAACTCTTGCAAACCAAATCGAACACATTCGTGAGTGAGATACCATGCGTGAAAGGCGTAGATATAACGTAGCTCGCGTAGCTTTTCTTAACCAATTGGCTCACGCCATTCTTGTTAATAATCTCGTCTTTCAACGTCGATAATTATGCTCCAAATAACTTCGATCAGATTCGAGTACCTCGAGTTTCAATGTTTGAATATTATTTTCTGTCGACTCGATCAACGAACTACGAACGAGATTATCCGACAACGTCCACGTAATAATTTATAGATTTAATCGGAGCAAGTTAAATTAGTTTACGGAAAACAATACGAAGCTGATATGTGAAGCATATTGACGCTTCGACAAACAAACGCGAATTGATTAACTGAAACAGCAGCCAGCCAGTTGATGCTGCGACAACAATTATCAGACAATCGTTTTCATTCCGAGAATAAGAAATACCAGGGAATATCTTTAGCTCTGGTAGGCAACAAAGGGACGTTATACATCGACTAAGAGGATCGAAAAGCTACGTGAATTTTCCATTATCCTAGTCTCCTAGGTTCCAATTCCTTTGACGCGGCTTTATCCGACAAGCGAAAGTTTACAAGGCTAATTAAACTTTCTAATTGACACGTGCAACGATCACCACTCGCATTCCAATGAAATCTGACTTGACGACCGAAATAGAGTGTTAGAAGATCAACTAAATAACAGCGTATTAATCGGGTCAATCTGAAAATAATTGGCTCGTGAGCTCGTCTAACGAACGCTGGATCGCTGCTGTCCAAGGTGACACCGTGTAAATTTACTAATTACTCGAATACGCACCGTCGCAATTGAGCCAATTACAAAATGGTTAGACGCAAACGGTACAGAGCGCTGGGAGCGTGTATTCCTGCATATATTATTCAGAGGAGTAACTTTAGTTTAGTTTCGACGCACGACGGCCGCATCGGGTGGCCAAGCCGATTTAACTGGAGGATAATCGATATACCCGGCGTGCATGGTCCCCGAACGCGGTCGATCGTGTTGCACAGCTACGGTGCAAACGGCATAAGTGCGTGCTCCCCTCTCGCAGGTGGTTCTCCGTGGAATCTACAACCGTAAATTTCTGTCTTAACGATCCACCCACCTTGCAGTCGGATCCCGAGCATGGGCGTGCTCCGAAATGGAAACTAATAATCTACCGTTGAATCCGGAAAGGCGGAGGGATAAACTCGCGGCGCTGAACGCCACAGATCGAGCAATCGGGCGGAGATATCGGTCGTCGATTTTCCACCAACGAGCCGCGTGTCATCGAGCGCGGAAAGAAATACGTTCGGCCGGATCGGGAACACGGAACTTATTCCCCTATTTTTGCCACTGACGTGTTCCGCGATTTACGCAATCTCCTTTTTCTCTCGCGCCTTCGACAAATTTTTAATAACACTCCGTCGGAAAGTTTTCCCCTCCCTCCTCTTCCGCCACTCGTGGATGTGTTCGCCGCAGCGCAAAACAAATTACCACTGGGAGAATGAACTTTTAATTTCTCGCACACGTCATTCGAACGTAGATAATAAATCGCGTCGTTGTTCTCCCATTGGTAGCTTCCATGGCTTTCCAACGACGTTAATAATCGTTGCAAATATCGTGTACGAAGTAATGTCGCGATCGAGATCTCCGAAAAGACTCGTATAATATTCAATAATACCGCGTATGTCACTGTTTGCTTCTTGAACAATTGAAACTCGTTCGGATTAAGGAGACCGAGAGTCTCCGATTAGCATCGCGAACCGTCCATCGCAGCTTGCGATCAGAGTGATAGTGGAAATTTATCTTGTCCGATCAATGAAACACGTTGATCTTTACCATCAAAAGGAGTAATTATATATATGTTGAATTTCTGGTCTGAGTCGCTTTTCTGCGAATACTATATAATCGTATGATATACTCTATTAGAGAAATACACGCGTCGTGGATCACGAGATTGAAAACTGTTCTCGAATTCTACATTGTTTTTTTTTTTTTTTTACTGAACCTCTAGCCCCGAATCGCTCGTTTGCCCGCTTAATAATTCTGTCACGGAGAAAATTTCTCGGAGCATTGGCTCTCGTTCCAGATCTCGAAGAGGCTGCCGCCGGCAGACAGAGTACAACACTTAACAAGCATCGATCCCAAGCCACCACGAGTCGTCGTCGTCGTCGTCGTCGTCGTCGTCGTTGTTTAATGTCGTTGTGTTGTGAAACTTAGCCCTCGGTGACGTTTCGCTTGTTCGTAATTATATCCCTAATAAATATCGCTCAACGTACGATAGGCACGGTGATTTACGAGAGGTTGTCCGGCGTCAGTCCCATGAATAACCGTCGCTTTGGGACGCTTTTGTCACGCGCCCACGCAAAAACGAGTCAATTACTACCGACAGTCGTGTCTGTGATTGGACAAAAGATTGAAAATGAAACGACGCGACTTTCCGCTACGTTCATTTGCAATCCGGAGCCTCGTTTTGCCACGAGGCAATCGCTACACACGTCATTTTTCGTCACGTTGTGTTCGCTTTTCGATCTCTTTCTTTTTCTCTTTCTCTCTCCTCTCTCTCTCTCTCTCCCTCTCTCTCTCTCTCTCTCTCTCTCTCTCTCTCTCTCTCTCTGTTACAGACGGAACAATTCACGGTATTGTGGCTGCTGTTCGCGATGATAGTCGTCGGGAATATCGCGGTGCTAATTGGCCTCCTGTGGGGGAAACGGCGTAAGACGCGGATGGATTTTTTTATCAAACAGCTAGCGTTTGCGGGTAAGTTTTGCCATATCTAAGAAACTTAAATCCTAAAAATTTCACAGTTTGCGAAGAAATTCGGGTAAAACACGTAGGAATAAACTTCTGTTTACGCGAGAAGTGTGAGCTCGCTGCTAGCAAACCAATGCCAGTGTTTGATTTGATTTTGTCAGAAAGATCAATGAAGTAAACAACAGATTACCTATTACTACTCGCGTCTTTTCGCCAGATCAAGCGGAGACGAAGAACTCCGTAAAGAACGAAGAATCGAAAGCGGTATTCCGAGGACGATTCACGTGTAAAATGATCTCGCGTGTCAAGCGCCTGTTGTAGTAAAACGTCCGGTGGTGTATTTTTGTAACTTTGTCGTCGAGGTTTCCCGAAGTGTGACACGCGTGTCGAGACTGCGCTTCCCATTTTTCAAACGACTCGGTTGTAACGTTGAGAAAGAGCAGTCCGAAAGAATGCCGAGAAGTGAATAAACATCGAGTCATGGACCTATAAAAATTTACACGCGTGTTACGCGTTTTCGATGAAAACTTCGAGTCCGTCTATGCACCTACTTATCTACAACAGTCTCCTTCTTTCTCAATCTTTCCAAATCCTTTCTTTCCACTCTTTTCCCCTCCTTTCTGCGATATTATGTTTCTCGCGGCATCCGCTCGTACCGCGTCCATTGTGCGCGCTGAAAAGCTCGACGCTCGGTGAGTAAAGGCAAAGACGAACGCACAGCCGATCGTAACTTCAAGGTGGCCTACGTCCGTTATTTCTCTCTCGATGCGTTTCACAACCACCGCCGTATCCACTCGCTCTCCCTCTTTTTTTCGTCTCTCTTTTTCCGCTGCGAAGCAAAATGAAATACCACGCGCCACACGCAAACGCTCACTCAAATTGCGCTACGCGTCTGTCTCGCTTTTTCGCCAGATAAATTTCATCAAAAGCTCTGAACAAAAAATTCGCGTTCGGTACGCAAGGAACGCAAATGAAACTTGGTTCAGTTCGTTTATCTCCGTATTTCGACATGTCACTTTCATTCTAATTCTAACCGTAATATCGTGAGAAATTACGCTTTGAGAATGCTCGAAAGCTTCCAGCGGTCGGAAACTCGCGCTAGAAACGGAAGTGAAATAAATCAGTCGAATCGGGATCGTCGTTATCCAGCCAATAATTCGCCACGAATCCATCAGTAGATAGTTTGTTGATCGATAAAAAAAATTATTCGCGAAAGTTTGATGCAAACGTAAGTCGTGCCGAGTATCGAGTTTAGGAAGAAAAAGAATTCGATGGACCGGACAGCTTAATTGGTTAACAACTCAAGTAGTTGTCCAACAAGCAAGAAATTCGAGTTCGTAATGTTGCCGTTGTTCCTCCTTAGAACGAACGCTAGTTTCGAGCAAATTCAATTTAATTTCATCTTTGGGAGAAATTTGAAAATTCGGCACTTTTAAAACAAATTGTCCTTCGAGATACATAATGGAAGTTCCCCACTTTTAAAACAAATTGTCCTTCGAGATACATAATGCGCAGCTGTCCTTTGTAATCAATTCTAGAATACTCGTTGCAAAACATTTGATTGGCACTGTTTTCCTCATTGTTTCACTCTGACTTACGAGATAGTTGTAACATCAAACATTCAAACTACCGTTCTCTTGTATTTTATATTTCCACTTTGTTCTTTCTCTCTATCGATCTCTGTCAAGATGCTTGCCTCTTTTATACATTACTGTATTGCCAAAGATATAAAATGCTATCGAAAATGTCTGGCAGCAAACCGCGCGATACGACCGGCGGTCCGATCGGATTTTTCGTCTCGTTCGTCGCGAGTACTCTTCTATCGATTTTCGTGACGATCCTTGAAAAAAGATGGCCGTACATGTGAAAACGTGGCAAAACATGAACGCCAATGCCGTGTAAACGTAAAAAACCACTTGTCCATTCGACGACCAATTGCCAGCTACGCTTTAGTAAAAGCCATCGAACGATGCACGAACGTACCTATATATCAGAAAATGGACAAAGAAAGAGAGAACGAGAGAGAAAAATAGAGTGAAATCGTTGGTATTTTACTCCTGTTATCGTTCCAGCGCGAACACTTTTATTACACCGAGAAAGGGTATATCTGTCGCTGAACAGAAAGTGACGATCTGGAGGGAAAAAACAGGAGTTGAAAACGCAAAATGATCGTGAAGAGTATACAGGATGTTCCATATAAAGCTAACCACATAAATTTCTCTTAAACTATTCGATGTAGAGAAAAATGTATTAAATGAAACTTACGCGGTTTCAAGGGGAACCAACGGACCAAATGGAACTGTATATTTTTGATCGTTCATTTAACGTCGAGAAAATTACGTGGTTAGCATCATATAGGACACCCGGTATAATAAATTTAGGACTTTCTTTATACGAAACGCCGAGGATTAAGGAACTCGAAATAAAACTCGTTTGAGAGAAGGGATACGAGTGTATCAAGAGGTAGTCGAGAAACAAATCGCCGAGAGATAACACAACGGACAATGCCTTGCAAGCTCAACGATCTCGTCTTGCGCGTGAAATAAGAATTGAAGGAGGAACTCCGTCGGCTGAACGGTTCGTAAAGTCAGATGCGACATTTGCATTCAAATGCGGTGACAACGAAGAGACCGTAATTAAGCAGCTGACGCCGGCGGCTGGACAACGACGAAATCTGCGAACGACCGTGCCCCGTTTACGAGCGAGCAACTGCGCGATTTGATTCGCCGTAAAGGAAAAGCGAGCAGTCCGTAAAATCTGAATTCGGGCGCGAATTTTGCCCTTTTGCCGCGGGATCCAACGCAATAATATTGCAAAACTGCACGAGATCCGCAAGAGATTGAGCTCTTATCGCATTCGAGAGAGTAAAGTGACATCGTACGATAACAAACTGAACGAAAGCTCGCGAAACCAAAATTGTTTACGATTAAGTCGTTTAGCTCTGGCAACGATCGCGGTCGCATAATCCAAGTTAGCACAGGATGATAAATCCGGAGCGAATTTCAATATCGGGGGGAAAAATGTACGATGCTGGGTCGCGATCGTTTCGCATGGGGATTCGTAGGATGAAGTCTCACTTTCGAGGGTCTTTTTTATGGCTGACCGAATGGCGCTTCTAGCCTCTCGCAACACTCTACACGATATCCTTTAAACCACCTCTTTACGACTTCTCTCTCTACGGAAAATCGCCGATCATTCGTAAAATATGTGTCCTCACATTCTCCAACTATCTAGAGAACAATAAATATTGTACATTATAATAAATATTGATCGAGAAAAATCGCAAGATAATATCCAGATTTTACTCCGGTGAAGAAAACGTATTGCATTCAACGTACTGGTCGTACTAAAGATTGTTATTTACATACTGAAAATATTATTTCTGAAAGATGAGAAACAGGTAAAAATTTCAAATTATCAGCGTTTCTTTGCAGTTGAATATCCCATCCCGGATTTTATTTCAACGAGTCTTTTATTGAGATTAGTCACGTATTCAGATCGGATATTGCAACTATCATTGCTGTACCATGATACGCATGTATTTGGCTCGCGCAACAAACAAATATTCGATATTTCCCTGCATTACGCAAATAATTACCAACGTTCGTAATTAAAAAAGTAATAAAGTATTTTTGAATTATCTTTTAGAACGAACCTCAAAAGCGTTTATCTCTTTTTATTCTTTCGTAATGTATTATTGTATAAAAACATATTATTATCAATATATAGTTAGTAAATGTATTATTATTATATGTCATTACTACAATAACACAATGCATTTTGAATATTATTACGTTAGTTAAATATTATTGTTATAATAGCAAATTCACTCTCGTGTTATTTCTAATTTGAGAAACATGGTTTTAAAACAGATTTAAAACGATCCACGTATGTATACGTGCTTGTGATTACGCTAGTGATTTTGAGTAAACGCATCGTTGTGGATAATGAGCATATGCGCGTTTCACGGTTAATTTGTTAAACTTGATTGTTCGTTCATTCGTACAGGGATTATGTAAATGCCATGTAAACGCCGCGATTACGCAATAATAACTACATCGACCGTAAATCATTTCTTCACACTACGTATCTCGTTACAGATTTATTGGTGGGCTTGATATCCGTGTTAACGGATATAGTTTGGAGAACAACGGTGACCTGGCATGCAGGCAACGTTGGCTGCAAATTGATAAGATTCATGCAGGCCGTCGTTACATACAGTTCCACGTACGTACTTGTCGCGTTGTCCATCGACAGATACGATGCCATCACCAGACCAATGAATTTCAGTGGCAGGTGTAAGTATAGTGTAATTATAATTGATTCTGCTTATTTAAGTTTCTTCCTTTTTTAATCTCACTTCCTCAAGGATCAGCAATAACGTAACGTTTCGTTTGCAATTTTTTTCAATCGCCACGCATTATCAAATCCTGATTTTTAATATCAGGTTTTATGAAAAAAAAATTTTCAGAAATTCAAATATTTTCCTTTTTTTTCTGGATTATATGCATTTTGCAAAATTATCGAAACCATTACTTGAGGCTTAGTGAGTTCATGTCACGTAATTACGCTTCCAAACTTTTAATCCAGCGTAAAACAAATACGGCTTCATTGCGATTTGATATTTCACCGAATTCATCGTTGTGTCTGCGAATTAAAAGACCAACAATATAATATATCCAACATGATAATATTTCACAATCTTTTAATCGTTATCGGAGGAAAACGTTTCAACAAGATAAGCTTCATTTTCCAAACTTCCGTTTAGAATGAGATTCAACGCAACATCAAAGGTCCCATTTCCCATTAGACATCATTCGCGAGTATTTAAGGTTTCTTGTTGCTACCAGTTTATTACTGGCTAAGAAATCGCTCGTAAGCTAACAAACACAACGATATTTTTTTTTTCCTTTTGTAATTTATTTCATTTAAATTATAATGGGTAAGAAGCATGGCAACTGGCCGAAAGATGAAAAAGAATGGCGAGATATAAAACGTAAACGGATTTTGTAAGCGATACGTCGTCAATGACGAGACATTAACGAACTCGAGCTTCTCAAGTCTTCGAGGCTCTCTCGAAGTTAATTGGTTTTCTTGCTTTTAATAACTTCGATGCAAATTCTGTATTAAATCAAGAAGATATTTCACGCGCGGTAGTCACAAAATTCCTTATAATCTCGTTATCGCCGCGAACTTCTTGAAAACGTCTACAGTAGGAAATAACGGCGGGTTATTGAATTAAAATGACGAAACGCTTCTCAAGAAAATTCCGTTATTGCGTCGTACAGTTCCTCGCTGTTATGTTCTTCTTTTTTTTTTCTCCGTCACTCAACAGCTGTCGCGGAAGTTTTCACGAGAGCGCGAAAACGAGAAAAGTTGGCATAAGCGACACTCACGGTTTCGCAAGCCTGCATCTGTTCGGTTGCCTCGAGCAGCGTTCGTATCACTCGAGTGCATTGACATTCGAATCCTCTTTCAGAATTACGTTGCTCTTCTCTCTCTCCGTAGCCACTGACTCGTGTCGTATGAAATATCGGATTTGCGTTTCATCCAACATTTGTTCGAGTGCCATTCTTTGAAACAGGGTCCTCTAAGTTGTTTCGCATCTTCGGAAAGTTTACTTCGCATTGTTCATATTCTGCATTCGGAATTTTAAATTTCATCCTCCTCTAAACGAGTTTCTTTTTTCAATATGTTCACCATCCTGGAAATTCGTACTTTTTCGTATGAATTCAAACTAGGTCGTTATGCCCCTATTCCTTGGATATCTCTCCAACAGATTTTCATCTTTCCGGAAGTTTGGAGTCATATAATGTCCAGAGACAGAGCCTCTGTGATTCAGGCCTTCAAAGAGTTTATCGCTTCTAAAAACCAAAAAAAAGACTTCTTCGAAAAGAGTATTTTTTTTTTTTTTGTTTCATCAGAATCCCGGTGAAAGAGTGTCGCGGATTGAAATGGTGCCTATTTTGATTCAAGTCGGAAATAATTTTTAAGAATATCCAACATAAACACATGAAACCTAACATAACCTAACTTAACAAATCGACTTAAGACCGAGAATTTAACTTTGATCGCAGGGTGGAGAGCCAGGGCTCTGGTGGTGGCTGCCTGGGGCTTATCAACATTGTTTAGCGTTCCGATCATTTTCCTGTACGAGGAGAAACGCATACAGGTAGTACATAATTTGTCGAGATCCCGCGAATAACAAATTTTCATGGTTAATGAAGCTTTTGATCGCTTCCTTACGGAACTCTGTTAATTGTGTTTCGGAAGATAACTTCGTTTCTGCTGCGTATCTTGGCTTCTTTGCAAACATGTAATTGTCTTCGTTTGCTATCCGCGTTACTTACGAGACACGCGGTAAAGATAAAGCAACGTTTCACGAGCGATTTGAATCTTCAACCTCGATTTCGTTCAATGTTCTGTAAAAAAGAATCGATTTTTCCGAACCATCTAAGTGCGTAGTCTGATGCAGAACTTTCTTTCGCGGCATTTTTCCTTTTCTATGAATTATATAACGAATCATTTGAACGAGCACCGTTGACCTAGTTTTGATAAATCGTACTACGAGCATAATCGGCAGGATCGTTTACCAGGGGAGGACACAATGCTGGATAGACCTGGGCTCTCCTGTTCAGTGGAGGATCTACATGAGCCTGGTCAGCTTTACACTTTTCATAGCCCCCACTCTGATAATAGGAGGTTGTTATGCTGTGATCGTAGCAACTATATGGTCGCAAGGAGGGGCATTACGCCAGGGACCTACTAGGGACACTAGAAGAGCGTCGTCTCGAGGACTCATTCCCAGAGCCAAAGTTAAGACGGTTAAAATGACCCTCGTTATAGTGTTCGGTGAGTAAACGATGTTTCGAGTTCAAAGAGTTGAAGTGAATTTACAAGTATAAGACTAAAGGTCAAAGTATATATACATATACATTGGCTCACGAAAATTTATTTAAACGCGCATCGTAGAAAATTTTTGTGTTGTGATATGTCGTGTTGAACATTACGAAATTTTACCAACGCTGTTGCATGGTTGTGTCGGCGAAATTTGAAACAAAAAGTTAATTAGAATTAAAATTGAAAAAGAAATAACCGTAAATATATAAATTTGATCTCATTCATTTCATAAAGATTCGTTAGTGTAATAAATAATTTGATTTCATTTTAAACTCTGTTGATGCAGATAATAATAATATTTGTATTTCATGACAGCTTTAATTAAATTTCAAAATATTTCGATCATAATGTATTTTTAGAAAGTATCTGTACTTTGAATCTGCGTATATTTGACGTTAGAAATCCACATGACGAACTCGGGAAATTATAAATTTATATCGCGCGAAAGACGATAATCGTGAAACTTTTGGCCATGAAATTCCTACGTCACGGATATTGTAAAAAACACAACAATAAATAATTGGTACAAATTTTTTGATACAAATGAGCTCGTTAACAGCGTAAATCGTCCGACGCAGATCTATACGAATTTAATGAACGTAGGTAGTTGAAGTTTGGCAACGAGCGAGCTAAAATTGCGTTTAATCGGCGGACGACAAAATGTTAAGAACTCTCTTTTTCACCACTGTTTCATTCTCTTCCGTACGATTGTATTTGCACCGCATGAAAAAGCTACGTAAGCTACGTAATAATTTTTCGACCTCTGTCTCCCATCCTCTTACGAATCTCCACGAGCTCGAAGATATCTACTACCAAGTACAGTTGTGTATAGTTGTGTTTGCGTCGCGAGATGAGAGAAGGGAATCCTTTGAAGAGATTCAGTTGTTTCCTCCCCTTTTTTCTTCTGTCAAGTGCTATTCGTTTCTCGACTGTTTTTCTGGACGCAACACAACGATCTGAGGATATAGTAATTTTCTAAATTTCGACGAGAGTGACGTTAAATTGTTTTCTTTTCGTTTAAATTTAAGTTGCAAAAGAGTGTTACTCTACAATAAAAGTGTAACACGGATGTTTTCATGCTGCAGTATTGTCTATTTATTCGTTACTTAAAATCTGTCTGTCGATTTATCTTATTTTAATTACCCTAAAGTGTGTGCCCTTTTTGAATCAGTCGTATGCTAAGAATCGTTTCTCGGTCGAAATTTAACTAACTACATTGAGAAATCAAAAGTTCGAGAGAGCGAACAATCTCAAAGATGGGACAAGATAATTTTCGCTCAAACTCATAGAGAGATGCTGAGGAAGAGATGACAACTTGATTTTATTTGTCAAACACTCCATACAAGTTTCGAGTCTGCCTTAAACGACAACCCCTTTTCTTCATTCCTCGGGGAAATGGGTTTATCTGTAGCAGAAATTGCTGGACTTAATCAGATTCGCTTCTCGACAATGTCTCGGCTAGACTTTCTTCTTTTCTTTCTCTCTTTTATTTTAGCCAACGAAAATCGTTCCCAATGGATCCGATCAAATGAGATCGAGCTCTGTCTACGCAACTCCCTTCGGTACGCTTTAACAATGAAGAAACCACTCAAACGGCTATGCCACGTATATTATTTCTACGACCAGTACGAATCGATATTTAAAAAAAAAAAGAATCGTTCAACGTAGTATTCTTGCGATTTGTTTCTTTGTTATTGGTCGTGTTACGATCACGCGATACTAACCACTGTGACCGAGTTCAACAAACTCGTGAACATCCAGTGTTTCTGTGCATACAGCAGTAAGAGCGTTCGTTGATTTACGATAAACAAAGCGTATCGTACAATGTCTTCGTTCATGCGAATCCGTGAACGCTTTTACGCGTTTCGATTACCCTCGAGATCCGGTGTGGTCCTATCTGAGACGAGACGTTGTTGAGAAGCACATGCTTGACCCGTTAAGAAGTAACGTTGCGTAAACGAAAGATTTTCATTAATTTACATATTGTCGAATCTCGTTTTTTAAACTGTAACTAGTAATGTAGTAGGGAAGTAATTCTAAGTAACTTTTCTAAATAGTCTTTCCATTATTACTTTTTTTTATTTATATCAGAATTTCATAAAATTTCAAGGAATTTAAATACGTATGACATAATCGGTTAAAGTTTTACTAGAATCATTATCATTTGTCATCGAGTAAATCTGATATCTGAAATCGTGATATCTTTTTTATTTCATTCGTTGAGAACTTCGAAATCTGATAGACATATTGCAAAGAGAATACAGATATTAAGGATCATCAGATACTGTTTGAAAATGTCAAATGACAATTAGTACAATCATGTAAAAGAAAGATCAACTTTCTTAATGAGATCGCCCCGTGATTTGATAAAAGAAGAAAGCGTTAAAGAGGATTTCTCGGCACAGCGTAAATATTTCACACAGAAGAGAAGTTAATTCTCACAATCCGATCCATAATCCTCCGACGATTCGTTCTTTTATTTAGCGGAACAACTTTAGGAAGTCATCCCCGATGCTAGATACTATTTCTCCGCCATTTGATTCTCGCTTAATCGATTGTTTTGTGTCACTGGTGTTTACTCAACAGCGTAACAGTACAATTTCAGTCTCGAAATATTTCTTGAGGAACAATTCGTTTGAACTTTCCGTTTCACATATGTGTCATTGATGTAAATTAAACGCATACGACATTGCTTTCCTTTTCTTTCTTTTGTCGCAATTTCTCGTTGTAGAAAATTACTATATAACTATATAACTATATATTCCAACACAATAATTTACTTTACTAGGCTACCAAGCTCCTAGAATGTTCATATTCATAAGTAAGAAGGGAGAATATCGCGAGATATTTTACGCTCACGAGAAAATTAATTTACTAGTCTCCTTTTTCCGGCTGCGATAGATTTCTATCTCTTGAACGTGTTCGTTCCCTTTAAAAGTACAATTTAAAGAAATTGCGAACAGGTGGATAATATGAAGCTGAAAGCATTCTTGGATCAAGGACGAACTTTTTACGTTGATCTTTCGATGTTACAGTATTCATTCTTTGTTGGAGCCCGTACATAGTGTTCGATCTGCTGCAAGTATACGGATACGTGCCAGAAACCCAGACAAACATTGCCGTGGCCACTTTCATTCAAAGCTTAACACCTCTGAATTCAGCTGCGAATCCGATTATATACTGTCTCTTCAGCACGTCATTTTGTAAAACCGTACGGTGAGTTCCTAGAACGCCAAAGCTCTTTGATACTTCGTGTAGAATACCACATCGAAGTTTTATCGAGAAATTTACACCGAGTAGTTTTATCGACGGAGAAGAATTTACAAGAAAATGTTCGTGTCAAAGGCAAAGATTGTTAAGATATTTGAAATTTAAAAAGTATAGAACGTTCTGATATAGACGTGATACTTTGTAATGTCGTGTTTGCTGTTCACTCTTTGCGATCACAATCTTCTGTAAGATGATTAAATTAAAACTTAAATTGCTTTTAAAATGAAAGCGCAAAGAATTTTTAAATTAAATTAAAACAATTACGTTTTATAAATATAACGATGTCTTGAAACTTACGACCAACTGTGCACGAAGAGAAATTTTTAATTTCTTCCTTTTGTCACAAGTTCTATTTATTTTTAATTTCTATTTATTTTTAATTACATTCAATATGAACTTGCAAAAATATCCACGATCTGTTTATAACAAAGTAGACACTACTTCTATTTTCCAGACCTCAAAGAGGTCATCAAATGATCTATATATTTGTACAGCAGCGGAAGTATTCAATTTCAACGGAAAGTATTACGAAATTTTGCTTATTTAATACGTTGTAACAAATAAGATCTGTATATTAAATCCAAAAAGATGTCACGAACAAAATAACTAAATAAATATTTATACAAATAAATATTAATACAAATTAATATTTCTTATGACGATATCAAAGAACATCCAGAAATTGTTTGAATACAAGTACAATTCTGGCTCGATAGGAACATGCAGGCGATATCATGGGTTTCTGGATGGTGTGCAACAAATCCCCATCATTGTTTCGGTACTGGTGCTCCGAACAGCAGTACCAGAACAACAGTGACGACATCGTTGACAGCACAGTCTTCGAGAAGAAGCGGTCACATCGCGATGCTGCACTCTACCACCAGAAAACGAGTTATGGTGTCGCTGGTGTAAGAAACGAACGATAGAAACCGCATCTATTAGATGTTCGTAGAGAACTCTGTCTAATGGTTCCTTTTGAGCTTCGGCAAAGAGACCGCAAGTATTACGAGTCTTCGAAACTTAGGTTGAACATTTCGTCTACGTTTCTTCTAAACGTGAATCTCTGAAAAGTACTGTAGCGATTTCCTATTCTTCTCTTCGTGTCTTTGTACTTTCTGGAGGATTCGAGGAAACGTGAAAAGAAACTGAGACTCTGTTTTCGTAATACAAAGTACAAGCTACCCACTAATGAATATTAGAAGCATAGTTTAAGAGGCCGGGAGCGGAGAGATGCGATATAATAAAATAAGTTTTACATGATCAGTATTTTAGATGAGATCGCGCGCACACGGTTTACGTTTTTTTCATCCTCTAATTGAAATGAAATTATTTAATGAAATTATTTAATGAAATTGATGTGTGTATGTGTGTGTGTGTGTGTGTGTCAAAGGTCACAAGTGGTTTAATCCTTAAGTGAACCATCGGAATCTCAATTTAATTTCAAACTAATAATTACATCTTACGTTGATGTCGTTACTTGGCGATTTACGCAACCCTTTGTTTTCCTATGTAAAGAAAATTTATTTCTGTTTATCAAAATTCAGCGCAAGTTGAACATAAACTGCAACTATCAAATTCGTTACGGTAGAAATTTATTAACGACGCCGAACAAAGGCCGCAAACGATATTCAATTTTAAAATGAATCAAGAACGTCATTTCGTTAATGAAGTCGTTCGCATCACGAGTATTCGCCAAGCATCAGGAGGATGAAAGGAACATTAACCTGGCAATCGATCAACTTACGTGGAAAATGATACGCTCAAAGTATACATGTACATATATACATAGTGTGAATGAATGGTAGCTTCGTGTATTTTATATATGCATGCTTATACACGCGCGCGCGCACACACACACTCTTACGTATGCACACAGATCAGATATATATATATATACACATACGAACGCGTACGTACGAACATAAATGTGTAATATATTCATAAATTCAACCGTTCGTGATCGTCGCGAAAACGCCTGGTTCTTGAAGTGGGCAATTTCGTTAGCATTCTACCGGAACGATAAATCGATATCAGTAACAAAATATCTCGTATCGATTTATGTATCCACGAACGATGTAATAATTGTACAGCAAATTGGTCTTTGTATCTTCGAGTTATCTATCACTTGGATGCTTTGTCAAACAAACAAAACGAATCTCCTGCGATGTGAAAACAGCTTCGTTCATGCAAAAGAAATATATAACCGTCCATAAATCGGAACGGAATGAATTAATCGGTGGTTATAACTTTTATACTATATTACCTATCATCTCTTGTAACGCAGTTAGGTGTTATAAAAACCGCTACGTTTATATAACCAACCTGTATTTGTAACTCGTCTATACGTTATTTATCGTACTCAGACGCAAAAAGAGGAAATAAGTTGCGATATTTTCACTGCTGATGAAATTTGTACATATTGTTCATAATGTGCAGGGTATATCTACGTCTAATCACTTCTTTCGCTTCTCAATTTCTGTACAGTTTCTGGCTATCGGAATAGGAAAATATAAGATACAGAAAACTTTTTTTTTCTAATTACCATATGTTATACTACGTCAAGTAAATAATAAATTGTTCTTGGTTGTCCAAATTATTATCAAATACGTAGACGATCATGATATATATATATATATATATCAATTTTATTTATATAATTGATAGTTGATGAATATCCCTTGTATTCCCAAAATAACAGAAATTCAGAATATTTAGAAAAAACGAACATATTAATTATTTCGTTTATGTAATTGATTATATTCATATCGAAGGATATCACTGTATTTCCATAAAAACAAAAATTCCGCATATTCGTTAAAATAATGAGAGCACAAAGGCAGCACATACAGAATGCTGACAAAAGTATTAGCTGTGATAAAAATGAAGGGAGAAAATATTACATACATAATAATTAATACTACGCATTCGATGGCCAGTGATTGTAAATTCTATTATAAACGTTCACTAAATCTCTGTATGTAGCCATCTTTCTCATGATTCATTATCTTTGTAAATCCTTTCAACGTCGTTATTTATCGTATTCTATAACAAAAGAAGAGAAAGAACCTGTCGACGTATTATATTATATTTTCATTGTAGATTAAATTTGTACATACATATATGTAATGTCGAATAAAACTCGTCCGTAAGACCAACGTCTAACTTGGCCAAATTTCTAATTAACCAACGTTCAATTTATTCCTGAGTTTCCCCACTTTGAAATTCCATTAAACATCACTATAAGCCATTCTCTTTGTGATTCGGCACACTCTGAAAATCCTTGTGATATTAATACACAGAAGATAGTTCGTCAATCAGGAGCAAATTAACATTACCTCTTCTGACGCGAACAACATTACCTCTCACCTTTGATTGCTCGGGAATTCTAATTACCGTGTTTGACTATCGACTAAAGACGACCGGCTGAGAGATATTACCTTCTCGACGATCAGTGTAATTAGTTTTCCTCAAGCGCATGCTAATTTGCTGCGAAATACCGGCGCTTGTTCTCGTTCTCTATTCACTTTTCTCGTTCGTTTCACGTAATTTAGTCGTAGAGAGAGACGGTGCCGCGCACACGAACAAATGAAGCATGAAGAACGAAACCTCTTCTCCACCAGCGCGGACAAAATAAAATTTCTTCGCATTCCGCCATTTCCTTTTACGGCCTACGACGGTGTACCGACTGTAAAATTCAACGGCACGGTGACGCGGTGGCGCCGTGATAAATCGGGGATGAAACGATCGTGCCACCCTTTTCATCACCACTTATTTACTCTATTCTCAAACGGAACGATTCGCACCACGATCCGTTTCGTGGCCAGAGAGAATTAATATTAATCTAACTCCCTTTCCATTTCCTCCGAATCAGCAAGTCCACAAACTGTTCAAAAATATAATACTATAATAAAACGAACAATTTGCAGAGCACCTCAGAATACGTCTTTAATTTGAATTTTGTTGTAAAGAAATGGGATTTCTTTCTGACATTTCGTGTTCTGTCTTCTTTGAAGAATTCTCCTTTGAACGGATATAAAAGATTCGTATGAATGCACAATATATTTATTATTCATATTCATATCGATATAAATATGATAATCAATCTACGGATTTTTCGACTTTTCCAGATTTCAAATTTAATTAGTATAACTATTAATTCAAAATGTGTACCATCGGTAGCTCTGCACTTCGTATTAAATTAAATCGCATGCTAGATCAAAGTTCAAAAATTACAAAGAACATATCATAGACTGCAAAGAACGTGATATAACTATTCTGCATGGGTAGGTAAAAGCAAAATTAAAAAGAAAATCTGCCCTCTGTCCACAAAGCGTGTGAAGCTGTTTAGTTTACCTGAAGTTGAACAAAAGATCGACGACGAATGATCCTACGAAAGATCATCGGAGAAAATTTCAGGGTAATAGAGTCTGCGTTTATCCCTCGTGGAACCTTTCCGTTCTGTTTTAAAAGACCACTCACGATATCATGTGAAGGCGAAAGGAGCGACGGAAGTTTCTCGTGGATCCCAGATCGCAGTGGATCTGCCGATCAGTTTCAGAGATCCGCTTGGATCACAATTCCAGCGATATTGACGATCGCGATAAGGCGAATCAGAAAACTTGGGAATCTCTTTCTCGCATTTTGTTCAGAGTAACTTGTTTCCAGGATGTCTTGCGTTCACTATCAACAAACAAATCCTTCAACAAAGGAAAAAAATTACTTCGATGGCCAGTACAATCGCTATATGTCTCCTTCCTACTCGCCGAGAGTTATAACCCCCGAGATTTACAGAAGCGGTGAGTATATTTTTATATGATTTACAAAAATTTAAATACACGGTTAGAGACATTCAAATACTCAAAAATGTTGTTTTTGCTATTAATCTTTCATTTCAAGTTACCGTGATTAAATCCTTCGCATCCATGAGTGAGATACTTCGCTCGGGGATACATGTACTTCGCAATATAGTTTGAACCAGATCTTGCAACGCAATATCATTCGTGTGCATTGAACGAGGTATCTCGTGCCTTTCCGTTAGAACTAGAGATAATTTAGAGATAAAACCCAACAATCTGGTTAAGGTCAATTTGCACAATATTATAAGACGCATTTGTGAATATGAAAGAGTTAAAGATTAACAGTGGTAAATGAAGAAAATATTTTCTGTTTTTACAAACAGATTTCTGATATAATTACATATGATTTTAATCCACGAGCATGGTATTTTGCCCACAGTGTTAGCACGTAAACGATATTAAATCTTATCTAAAGCGTGTTGCATGAACGAAACTGCGTTGCAAAATATCTCGTCCAAAATGCATTATAAAAGATATTTCGTTCTCGTTAAACAGAATAGACGAGTTCATTCGTTTATTTAAGTCCTTTATTTTTTTTTTTTTTTTTTTACCTTTTGTAATGTAATTTTTATTATGAATAAATTGGAAAGTTCCTAACAAAAATAATCCTTACACGTTTTTTATCTTTCGAAAAAGTAAAAGAATATCCTAGCATCCTTAATATCTGATAAATATCTGTAAGTGTATAAATAACCTCGCGGAAGTACCTAAATCTAATTAAATTATGATGTCGTGAATCTCATAGCAACAGTTGCTTTTGTAATATCGATCTCATCATGTTGGTAATCTCGTTTCTAATTATTAAAATATCTTATTAAAGTATTGTAAAATTTAAGAACTACCTTTAATTTAAAATGTTGTTTTTATTATTAATTTTAATTTCATGGTATAGAAGTTTTTGGTTAATAGCCTATTCGATTAATAGGTTAGAAAAGCAATTCATAGAACTAGATGCATTCATCATTTTGTTCAGCAGGTTATTGTGCTGGATGGAGAACGCTGGAAATTCAAGGAAACAGCCCCGAAATTTCAACCACAGGTAAAATGATGTTTTTAAAGTTCGCCGATCCCTTTGATTGTAAGTATCTGACAAACTTCCATGGAAAAGGGGATGATCCATTTGATCTATTCGAAACGTCAGCTCGACGTCAGCTGTCAAGAATATTATCCACTCTGACATCGATTGCCCATTGATAAAATACTTTTTCTTTTTCGTGTATGCTGCTTTTGATATAAGTTGCGTGCGATACATAAAACTGTCTATTATAGTTGGAAAGACGACATATTGCCATATTCAGGCAGCTTCACTCAATATTTAATACGTTAGTTGCAAGAAGAATGTAGAAACGTAGTTTTTTTACGAGACTTTTATAACTTTTGTCGAGACACGAAGACTTTTAAATTTTAAAATTTCAAAGAAGGAGAGTTTCAGAATTTTATTCATGATTTTTCATAATCATTTTATATATTTACGATGCTCCATTTAGAATTTAAACAAATCCGAATAAATTCTCGTGTCATCCCTTGCATTATGTATCTTTTATATATTTTCAATTTTATTTATTTAAGCTTTACAATCCTATTCTATTTCCATGCAACTGATAGATGGTTGTGAATTATCGTGAATTTCACTATGCAATGCAAACATTGGTAAACCATTTACATAAATTCTAACGAGTTTTTTACTAAGGGAAAAGAAAGACCTCCGACTGCAATAAAACGCGTACAATTTATTAAAATGGAAATTCTTTTTCCTTCTTCGTCTCATAGCAAGGGCTGATCCGTCGTATGGCGACGCTCGAATGCAAACTGGAAGAATGACGCCAACGTTCAAGCAAGAGGCAATGAAACACGGGGACGCGATCACCCTGGAGAGGATGCAGACGAAAATGAAGTTCCTCGAGGACAGCAATATAGTTATGCAGACGCGCAATCAGAATCTTATCACCGAGAACAAAGCCTTCGCGACTCAGTGAGTATTAATACACGGACAATGGACAACCTCAATCGATATTCTTCTGGCTTGCACGTGAATAAATGGATCAGCCGATGAGGAGGATGATCGAGAAGCAAAGAGTGCGTGCTTTTTTTTTTTGCCGATTGATCTTAACTTGCGTCATCAACATCGATCGTCTTCGAATACGATTTTCTCTATCTTATATATACATAAATTTTCAAATAATTCTTAATCAATTCTATTTGGACGTGCATATCGTCATCTCATCTTACAATTTTCTATTTGTCCTTCTCGAGTTCGAAAGTTTTAAAAAGGACCATCTTATTCTATTTATTATATGTATGCTCCGCGTATTTGAATGATTACAGGGGAAAGTACTTTGCAAAAAAGTTTCATTCATGACGGAAGCTTTTTGTTACTCCCACGTAGAATAAAAATTTGCCCTACACTGAGTCTAATTTCTGACGTTGTCTCTACTTAATATCTATATAATATAATACTTAATAATGTTTTCACGTTTTCGCGTTCTGGATTCGTATTTCAGGATTTCGGACTAGTTTGTCTTGTTACTGTCTGCTCTTTCTGTTCTTTTCTTTACTAAAAGAAAGTACTGTACTATTATGTGCGTTGAATTGTCGTCGTTTCTAACATACGATCCCTCTGTAAGACTTAAAGAGGAGCGGAACGAAGTGAAACGATTAGAGAAAAGGCTAACGTTACTGCGAGAGGAGCTAGATTTCGAAAGATCGAAGATCAACGAGATGAGAAAAGAAGCGGAACAAGCAAGAGTACGAGCATCCCTGTGCAATTAACTTTCCTGAAGGAATTACATTTCACTTTGACTTTCCAGAAGAAACAAATGCCAACGGTTGAGGAGAACGGAACGTCGACAACGAACATTGTATCTAAAAGCGATCGTGGAGTTCAAGTCTGGGCGGTATGCATGGCTTGTCAGAGAAAATTGGAAAGTTGCGAGAAACAACCACCCACTGTCACCATTACCAAGTAAATACCCTTTCTTGTACGTCATTATCCTTCCTTTTATATCGAATGATACGTTCGTAAGAACTTCGAGGTACACAGTCGGACAAATAGCGGCAACTTCATTTGAAATGTACCTCGTTAAAACGAACTGTGATTACGATAGATCAGAGTTGGAAGTATTGGAGAAAGACATGCAGACTCTTCGAGATACAATAATCGCTCGAGAAGAAGCGTGGGACAAGGCTATGGAACGTGAACATAATTACAGGCAGCAATTGACGCGACTCACTACGGAAACGATCACGGCTCGCCACCTTGCCGACACGCGTTACGAAGAACTCAAAACTGCGACGAACGCGTTACAAGTAACAGTCGAAAGGCTTCACAGTAATAAAGAGACAGCTCTAATATTTAAACGGCGAAAGATATTGTACTTCATGAAAGTATCTGAATACTTATCACGGAAAACTTTTATATCATGTGTATTATAGAATCGTATTATATAATTTTTATTATAGTCGAAATTGCCACTATTTACTGATAATTTTAAAATTTTATTGGTACTATAGCAAGACATGATTGTCATGATTATATTGGTAAAATTTTAGACCGATCTGAAAATGTATAGAGGCGTTACAATTTATGCACGCATATATACGCGAAAAAATTAATATCGTAAAATATATCTGCAAGTCTATTATAATTCAATTCACATTCAAAAGCGCAAAAACATATTTAAAAGAGTTGATTTTAATTTTGATTGAAATTACCTCCTTATTACTATAGTTCTTTCAACAGTTTAATGTCATAATAAATAAGAAATTAGAGTACTTCAATCACAACTGATGGACTTTCAGGAGAAAGAAACAGAATTGAAGTCGATTCAAAAGGACAACATGTATCTACACAAATTGATCGCGAAAATATACAATAGTTATCAAAGGTAGGTAAAATTATTCGATTCTGAGCTCCGTCAAATTACAATTTAAAAATTAACTACATTCTTACGAGTAGTCGGTTGAAGTTAAATGTAATATGAGGCCATAGGGAAAGGAATAATGTAGAAAATGAAATAAATTGACACACATATTCATTAGAATGATAAAAAGAGCGAACGAAAGGGAAATACGAGAGAAAAAAAAAGGCAAATCGTATAGCGTAGAGTTCTCACTTTTTGCCAGAGCATCGCGGCCCCTATCTCTTAAACTGGGCTACACTCTCCGCATTTTAGTCGTTTCATTAGCGAAACGTCCACCGTAATGTGCCGCTGAGAATGTCGCTTCAAATTTCGCGTAAAGAGATACGAGCTTCATCCTTAGCGCTAGACAGGGGATGTTCCCCTTTTCACTTGTCCTTAGCCTTCTGGATGTCGGGAGACGCGCATTATAATAATTCCCACGATATTAGGCTGTTACATTATAACATCAAACAAGAATATGCAGAATATACATACGTGGCATATAATAATATGCATGGCCGCACGTGTATTTCTTTTTTTTTTCAACCATTAAGTGAACTTTTAATTTTAATTTAATAGTTCGAGTTTACATTTAATTTAAATCGAATTGATAAACAGAAATTAATTTTGTAATTTAATAATGACTCTAATTTAGTAATGATATAAATATATATGATGGAATTATTGGTTCAAAATTAAAGTAAAATATTTCATTCGAGGGTTAATAATTGAACTAAATCTATTGCTTGTTTAATTCATAATTACAGAGAGCCAGAGGGATATCAAAGAAGCAATTTGACAGCTGATATGAATGAGAAAGATCAAAGATTTATCGAAGAGACTGTTCGACGCGTATCTAATGGGAAAAGCAAACAGAAATCAAAATCGAAAAGCTCTTGCTCGGAGAGAATCGCACATTCTATCGCATATCAAAGTCTTCGTGAAAAGAGTTCGAGGTCTGTTAGGGATCAAGCAAATTTGAAAGAGCCAAAACGATAACAATAACTGTTTCTCAACTTTCATTTCAAACGTACATGCCAAGAAAAACTAATTTTTACATTAAACTGATATTTACTTTCATCGCTTGACTATTTTCATTATTTTAATCCCATTTATAAACTACCATTTACTTAAAAAACTCAATATATGGAAAAAGATCAACATATGGAGATGATATTTATAAAAATTAAATGTTTATCTGCCAATCTCTATGCTATCAACTATTCAAATATTATCATCGATTGATCAGATGGAAACTGATTTTAAAATTGTAATCGATGTTAGATTTTATAGTCGTAAAACTCAACTGCTGAAGATTAGTGAGTGAGAGGAAGATTATGTAAAATATAATAAAAATAGGCACATATATAAATATTGACCTTATTTGAAGATATTCCAATTTTAATTTTAAATAAACATTTATAATTACAATGTATAGATATTCCTAAACATGATCGTATAAATAATCATGTATAATTCATACTCACTTATAATTATTTGAGAAAATGTACGTGTTGAAATAAATGATATGAATTTAGTATGTTACTGTATACTTTTGATTATCATATCATTTATTAAAATCAATAGTACTACCACGACGAGATATATGAAAAGACAAAGCATCTCATGGGAATTCGTGTTCCATGCTCTGAAACACGGAGATAGTAAAAAATCAATGAAGTTTTTAGCGTATTCTACGTTTAAACAATGATGAGTTGGGAAACTATATCAAGTAAAACGATCGAAGTTGATCAAGTAGTGAATGCTCTAGAAACATGATTTTTGAAATCCATTACAATGTTGTCAAATTTTCAATACCGAAATGTGAAGCTAGTAACTAAACGAAATTATTCTACTACATACTAGAAAGAGCTCTATTCATGTTTTACGGCATTAAGATGGTTTTTTTTTCATATAGTAAATTAAAATTCTAAAGTTCGAAATTTTTTCAAAAGTTTGATGTAATGTGAAAGAAATTAAAGAGAAGAAGAAAGAACAACCCTCTCATTTACAGACATAATCATTGAAGAAGAAATAATTAATCCTAGACTTACTAAAATATTTTTGTATGAAAAATATTTTCCATCCGCATACAAATCAGTTACCCGTATGTAAAAACTACACATTATTTATCATTTTCATTAACCGAGATCGCAGCCAATCAGCTCGTACTACTTGCCATATAATTAATAATTGTATCAGTTATATAATTTAGTTATATAATTGTTTAGCTATATAACAATGCAATTAGTAATCATATATCAAATAATATTATCTGTAGCTTAATTAAGTGTAATTTAGCCTCACTTAGTCTAACGTCTCTACAAAAAGTGATTTTTATTCATTTGATTCATATAAATACACAATTATAATTCAAAAAGAACGAAATGAACGTTACATGAAATCTTCTTTTGACGATTTGTCATTTTGATGAAAAATCTTCAACATCTGTACATGAAACAAACCTAAAAAATTTAAAACGATTAATAAAATCTGTAAAATAAAATTATTACTTGCAACTGGATGGAACATCATTTTCCTGAAATAGTTTTGTCCCCTTAGTCACTCCACAAAGATTTTTGTTAGAAATAAATGCCATTCACGAATAAACTTTGATTTATGTCAAATTCGAATATTTATACAACTCTATGTTATTGTTGAAACATTTAGAATAGAGAAAAGAAGAGAAAATGATTTAAAAAATTATTGTTATTGACTCCAATAGGAATAAATTGAATATTGATTCATATTTCAAAATGAACTAGTACTCAACAAAGTACTATCGATTTAATTATTTTGTGAAAAGAATTTCAAATTTTAAATTTTATTTCGAATTTCAAATTTTATTTTATATGTATAACTATATGAAATCACTTTCATATATTAAATTTATAAAAAAAATTGTACATCCTAAAAGTCGTAACAATGTTACAGCTAGTAAAAATATATATATTTTTAGCAATATTTTCAATAACAAATGGGGCAGTAAGAAATGCTGAAAAAGAAAACGCAACACAGTAATCAGAAGGACTACTGAAAAGGAAATAGCGGTACAATAGCCAGAAAGGCTACTAAAAAACAAGCATGTCCTACTCAACAATACAATAACCAGAAGGGCTACTGTACAATTATCTACATTACGAACTCGGGCAAAAAACCGTATCTTGTTTCGCAATACTAATTCTCTACCATTAATTGTCAAATTGGAAATATTTCAAATCAAACGCAAAAAGTGCCTCGTCAGGTTTAGAACTGCCGAAAATAAGTACGCAACGCTATTAATCTGTGCATTTATGTTTAAAAATTATCTCTGTACAGCTCTTGTAGCTGCATCAGTTGATTCAGGTGAGCAGAAACAGACTTCCACCAATCCAGTGGAAGAATTTGGGCATTTTGTAAACGCAACGCTATTTCAAAAAACGCGATTATTCGCGATAACATATACCACAGCACTAAGAATAAAAGAAATTGAAAAACCCGACGAAATAATGTCGCAACACTAACTCTAAAACTAAATTCAATGATAATTATTATGGACAATACAAAACTGTAATAACGAAAAGCTACTTCAAAAACTCTAACACATTAAAATTAATCAAAAGCAACTCTATAATTCAATTTAAAACAACACAAAGAAAGAGTTTAATATGTATAACATTAAGATAACCATAAAAATTAACAATTAAAATTGCAAAAAAATCACGATATCATAATTCGCAACTCTAAAGCAAATAATATTATCATTTCTTCGCAACTCTAATTCAACCCGTAATCAATCGCAACACTAACAAGAAAAATCACGATTTGCCCAAAACGATGATGAACGAGTTACCGCTAGTTACGCCACCATGTCCATTTTGTCCAGTTCGCACTAATTACGAAAAAAACCTAATTAAGAAGAATAATTTGCGAACTTTTTCATATGCCTCCTTATAATGAGGCTCCTCGCTTTCTTTCTATATGTGTTTTGTTCTAAAAAAACGTGTGTGTAAAAAGTTGAATTTTTTTTTCAATAGATCGAAGGTTGTCCTTCTCGCACACAGTTGCTTTCCTTGACTAGCGTCATGAGACAAGGAGAGCAATAACGTGCGACAAGGACAGACATATACGCGCGGTAGACAAGGAGAGCAGCAGCGTGCGACAAGGACAGACATATAGACGCGGTAGACAAAGAGAGCAATAGAGTGCGACAAGGACAGATATATTCGCGCCATAGACAAGGAGAGTGATAGTGTGCGACAAGGACAAGAGTATAAATTAGTTCCACCGTTTTACCGCTACGCGACGCTAGTATTTTAATGCTTTTAGCAGCTAGTATATCCAGTCTTTCATTAATATACGAATTACAAGGACATGAATATTACAAATCGTAAGTGGATACCGCTTAACTACGGATCAAGTGCGATCTTTAGGTTAAGCATGCAGCGTGTGGAACACATCTAGGATAGGTGCCGTTTCTCTTGGCCCAAACTAAAGATTCCTAATAAGCCGAGCGGCTGAAGTTAGGGGTCGCCGGCATCAGCCCTATTCATGAATGTGGCGGTGACTCTAAGACGAAATACACTCCACCTTCTATATCCTTTATAACTTTACATTATACTATTATGGAATGGACATGACATCCGATGCATGTTTAAGGAACATTTTCATAGCACATCTTGCCATACCGATTCAGGTTTTGCATCTATCTTTTGTATATTCACAGACGAAGTATTGGTAGAAGACATAACCTATCAAACATAATAAACATAACAAACCAAATTTTGTATACAACCGGTGTTTCAAAACATGTAATACCAAATTTCATAAAGTGATACATCTATCCTATTTAGACAATGATCTTATTAAAAATTAATTTCAAAATCTATTTTTATATATCCTTTGCATAAAGCATATTGCTACACGTTTGTATATTCTTAACAGGAAAATTAAAACACAACATAAAATCAATTCATTCATTTTAAATAATTTATTTAAGAATTTGCTATTACAATAACGTTCGATAATTGACATATATCTTGTCAGCAGATGTTTCTTCTTTTAATTACATTTCAATAATCTAATTTTATTGAGGTATTCTATTTCTAAGATATGCTAGAATTTCTTCTGTAGACTTTGCTAGAATTGCTTGCCTGGGTTGTTTAAAACAGTTTCCAGATAAAGACAGATTCCTACAAAGATTTAATATTATAAAATTTAATTAATATAACTGATTCATTGAAACTTACCTTAAGTTTTTCAAAGTACCAAGTTCTGGTGATACAAAACCAATGTTGTTATTAGCAAGATTTAATGTTGCAAGTTTTTGTAATTTTTGTAAAGCTGATACATCAATATCGGTAATTAAATTGTCATTCGCTATTAATATTTCTAAGGAATTTATGTCATAAACAGAATCTGGTATTTCTTTAAACCTATATAATGTATCAATAAATTTTAATAAAATCTGATTTTATATATATATAAGTCATATTATAATTTTGATGTTTATGATATGAACACATTATAAAAATAAAAATTACAATGTAATAACATAATTCGTGCAATATATATTTCTATATAATGTGCAAGTAATACCTGTTAAATGAAATATTAAGTTCTTGTAAATATTTAAGCAAGCCAAGATTAGAAGGAAGTGATTGTAAAAGATTTTTACTTAAATCCAAAATCTGTAGATACTTGTATTTTTCACCAATCCATTCTGGTATATGTGTTAGTTGATTAGATGTCAATTTTAAATCAGCAATTCTTTCAATTATAGATAATTCACCAGGTAAAGCAGACAGATTATTTCTACTTAAATCCACTGTACCTACATCAGCTTTACACGCATTTGTCAATACTTCTTGTGGTAATTCAGTAAGATTTTGTCCAGCTAAACTGAGTAATTTTGTACTCTGCATTGTATACCTAATGTGTAGTAAATTATTTGCCATTAATAATTATCTAAATATCAACTTAATTAAATCAAATATTAATTTTTTGTATACCTATCTGGATAAATATTTGTACTAGCATCTGATACCACATATTCTTTTACATCCATATTTGTACTCTTAATATCCTGTCGTATATGCTTCAAAATTCGCGCTGTACCGCATCGTATTATATCGGTTCTAACATTTTTTATATCATTTCCATCAATTACAAATTGTTTTAAATTAGGCATTAGGCCAATATATTTTGGTATTCTACAGAACACAAAAAATATTATTTTGAAAATATTTCGTTAAAACAAAATAATAATATATATAAAATAACATACAGAGTTAATTTGTTGTGTGATAAATCAAAAATTTCTAGATACACCAGTTTTATTATTTCTTCTGGTATTATTTCAATTTGATTATTTCCTAATGTTAACGTTTTTAATTGTCCTACACCTTCTAAACAAGACATATCAATTTCCTATAAATCATGCGAAATAAATATTAAAAATTCATATATAAAATTTTACATACAATATTATTGTTATTAAACAATAAAAAATTAACAAAAATTAAATAACACAACTTTTTATAAAATATTAAATACATAAAAAATTTCTTGTCCGTATATAACAGAAATCTGTAATATAAAACTCTATTTTCTTGTAAATAATCACTATATATGCTTAGACCAGCATATAATAGTACGTACAGTAATGTTATTATCAGCCAAGTGTAGTATTCTTAATAGTGTACAACCAGACATATCAGGAAATGTTGTTAATTTGTTTGAGTGCAATATCACTGTTTCTACCTTCCTTAATTCACCCAGAGGTGGCAACATTTCCAACTGATTATAACTTGCATTTAACTTTTGTAATGCTATTTTCAAAAAATATGTGTACTTTTTATTAAATTTTTGTCATACAGGAAGAAACAGTGTAAAACTGTTTTTCTTTTAATGTTATATGTTAAAATATAGTAAAGAAATTAAATTAAATAAATCATAAATATACATATCATTGTAAATCATACCTCTCATATTTGTTAAATCAGGTGGTAATTCTCTTAACATATTATGACTTAAATCCAAGGAAAGTAATCGTACTAAATATCCCATTCCAATCGGTAACTCAATTAAATTGTTATATGATAAATCCTAAACATATACAATATTTTAGATTCTGAAATTTGGTACATCAAGTATTTAAAATTATCTTAAAAATAAATAATTAATTTATTATACTAGATTGGTCAACATTATGAAGTCACCAACTGCAGGATCAAGCTCCTTTATACTATTATTTTTTAAGTTTAATTCATGCAGTTCATTTAGCTTATAAAACTCATGTGGCAAATTTTCCAGTTTATTATTTGATAAATTTAATATATTTAATTTTTTTAAATTTCCCATTTCAGCAGGCAATTCTTCCAACAAATTATTATGTAACTGTGAAAATTATAGAAGTTTGATATATATTTTATGTGCAATTTCTTCACGTATAGAACTGTTATATTTACATATAACGTAGTCAACTCTGATAAATTTTCTATTTGTGGTTCAATTGTTTTTAAACTATTATAACTTAAATCCAGTATTTTAAGAGGCTCTTGGTCCCACCATTTTTCATTTTCATGTACATAATCAAGTTCAAAATGTAAATTTCTCACTTCTTCTTCAGTTAAATCATTTATATTCCATACTCTATCAGGTACTAAAATAGATTTTATTAATCATAATACGATTCAATTAATACATAATTAATATATATTTCTATATATATGAAATATAATATTTTTATAAAAATTACTTACCTTACATACAGGATAATTTGGCATGATACTATATATATTGCTTGTTCTATTGCATTATTCACAATCTAACATGCAAAGCATTATATATCAAAATAAACAAGTAGTTTCATGATTACAATCAAATTCACTTGTGATATGTGTATTCTATTTGTTTTATGATTTAGATATCATGCTTTACGTAAATGGGTGCAAAAATAAAGAAAATTAAAAAATGCAATAAATAATTTTTATTTTGACAAAATTAAGAAATGAAATGCAACTAAAAAAGCATTAAGCTGATAAGTATATATTTTTCATTAATATAATGCTTTTTTATGATGTACACATATGTATCTGATAAAATATATATCTTTTAAGAAAACAATATTTTATATATGTAACAAGAATACAATTTACTTCGTATCATTACGTAAAAGAAAAACAATATAAATGATAAATTATAGAAACTATATTGCACATAATATTGATATGATGAATAAACAAACATGCATGCTAGCTTATTTATGATTGTAGCATTGAGATATCGAGCGACTGATATCAAATAGATTCGAATAACATTTATATACGTCATTTTTAAATAATATGGATACCCATAAATAGTCCTCTCGATGAGAGGTTTAAATTTCCACTTTTTCTCGCTGATATAATAATGATTTCCGATAGTTCGGCATTATCGTCATTTTTCGTCCGTTTTTTAAACACTGCTAAATGATTAGCTTTTTTCTTCATGCCACTCATGTTGCACTCATTACGTACATTGTTTACAGATTGATATCCTCGATACGGGATGACTTAATGATGAATGTTCCCCCACTTTATATGACAATGCATGTAATAATTATATACATATATGTATATGCATATAGCGACAGAATTGCCAATATTATTACAAGTTCACTTTGATTATTTAACTAGATCTAATATGCTTATTGTTTTATTGTTTGTTTTATATAATGAGAATAAATTAGAAATAAATACAATTATTTTAATTATTTCACGCTGTAAAAATTTTATTCATTTTATATATAAACTATTTTATAACTACATATTTGCATGAAAAATGAATAAACATTAACGATTAAAATAATGAATGAAACAAGTACCATTATCGAATTATGAAGCAAATTGGAAAGTCACGATACTAGTTGCATTTATAGGAATTTTGTAATATAATGTTACTACCAAAATAATATCATATGGGGGCGGAATCGGCGGTTTCGATCCATTTATGTGGGAGTGTTAAAGTTAATCTAAAGTCGAAATATTTATTAAAAATTATTAAATAACGGAAAAATATTTAGATAACAACAACAACAATTTAGATAATATAAAAATCCGAATTATTTCGAGTTTAATGTGAACACGTTTTAAAACTATAATCTCAAAATATACACGATGAAACACTAAAATTTTTTAAATTATTGTCACTACCTTCAATAGTAGCATAATATTTGTTTTTAAATATTTTATTATTTAATAGATCATTAATTATTTATCAATATGAGTGCGAATTCATTGAATTCTGTTATGTTAAAAAAGTGTATCTTTTTATTTATATTTATGCTAAGTCAAGTTAACAGTGAACAAGATCATGTACATACTATACAGTATACTAAAGATAATTTTTCAACAGAAATTCAGAAAAAAAATCATTTTATCATGTTTTATGCCCCTTGGTAAATATTTCATTTTTTATTTTATTTTTTAAATAAAGAAAAATATTTGTATATATTTGTAAATTTTTAGGAATAATATTATCAATATAGAATCTTTATATTAAAAAATAATTATGTTTTTTAGGTGCGGTCATTGTCAGAGATTGGAACCTACTTGGGAGCAATTAGCTAAAATGTCAAACGTGGAGGATAATAATATAAAAATTGCTAAAGTAGATTGTACTACAGATAGTAGTTTATGCACAGAGCATGATGTTACTGGTTATCCTACGTATGTGTGACATGAATTTATTAAGCAAAATGTTTGTGACAATATGTGACGTACAAGCATATAATTATATAAGGAAAAGTAAGCTTTAGAATTTTTAATATTACAGATTAAAATTTTTTAAAGCTGGAGAAATCAAAGGCACTAAATTCAGAGGAACAAGAGATTTACCATCTTTAATGTCCTTTCTTAGTGATCAATTAGGTACTTCCTTGAAGGTAATTATGAAAACCACTATACGTATTAAGTTATAAAAGATAATTCAATTTATTGAAATGCTTTTTTAAATTTTCTAAATTAGAGCGAAGATGAGGCACCATCACCTCCTGAAGCAGTGAATGGTTTATTAGAATTAACAGAGGACACTTTTGATAAACATGTATCTACTGGCTATCATTTTGTAAAATTTTATGCACCATGGTGTACTCACTGCCAAATATTAGCTCCTGTTTGGGAAGAATTAGCTAATAGTTTACGTAATGACAATTATGTTAGTATTTCTAAAGTAGATTGTACACAACATCGTAGTGTGTGTGGACAATTTGATATAAAAGGATATCCAACATTACTTTGGATTGAAGATGGAAAGAAGGTAAAATTTAAATACTATTTGTATTGTTTTGCCATAATTTTAATATTTGATATATATAATTATATAGGTGGATAAATATGCTGGCCAACGTACTCATGAAGATCTTAAAGCTTATGTATCAAAAATGCTTGAGAAAGAAAATGACCAAGTTAACGTCAAGACTGATAATTTAGATAATACAGCTCATGCTGTACTTAGTTTAACTAGTGAAAGCTTCAAACATGGTATCGAAAAAGGGATTTCATTTGTTAAGTTTTTCGCACCTTGGTGTGGGCATTGTAAACGTCTAGCGCCTATTTGGAAAGATCTCGGGAAAAAATTCTTAACAAACGATAATGTGAATATAGCAAAAGTAGATTGCACTCTTGATGTAAGTAAAGAATTGTGCAATGAACAAGAAGTAGATGGTTTTCCAACTCTATATTTATACCGTGATGGACTTAAAGTATCTGAATATAATGGTGCTCGAAATTTAGATGAAATTTACGAATTTATAATGAATTATATACAACATGATGATCAGCATGACGAATTGTGATTATATATTTCTCTTGTAACTTAATTAGTTAAAGCAATATCATTAACTTAAACTGATTTTATATATAAATATATAATATTTAATGTAATTATACATAAATATACGAAGTATATATTTATTGTAAGCATAAAAACCCCGAGGTATTTGGTATTCAAATCATAAATTTTTCATTTTTATATAAAATATTTAAAAAAAATTACAAAATTATATTTTTGCGTGAACTAATCGTGTACTTCCAAAATATATTTATGAGGTCACTCATGTATGATGTGCTTTTATCAAGTCCTTTAAAATTTTTTAAATATGAAGTTTATGATTAAATAGTTGTAGGGTAAAATGAACGCAACAATTGTCCACGTTGTTTATCTATGTATAGTGTTTTACGTTTTACGACTATTTCATGTTCAAGATCGCTTCTTGCTTTCACCAAACCTGCTTGAGTTTCTTCAGCTCGTTTTAATTCTGCTAATATAGCCAATGTGCGTTCATTAAGTAATTTCACTTCTTCCACTAGGCTAAATAACACATTAAGAAAGTTATAAGCTAATTATAATGATTATCTGTTATTTTTCTAAATATCTAATCGTACGACTAGGTAGTAGTTCATTGATAAAATACTTACGAATATTGGGGAGTATCACGACAACTTTCTACATTGCGACGTTGCAACCTGTTTGCTAATCGTGTTTGTGCTACTTTCATTACGCAATCTAGTCCTCTTGTTGAATGACGGAGCTCTTCTATTGATTTTTCAGTATTTGCTAGTTCATGTAAACACTAGAAAAATATCCATCATATAATATTGCAACTGTATTTAAAGGGTTGTTGAGATTTTTAACTTACACGAAGTAATTCATTTTCCAATTGTATACAGACATCCTCTGTAAGTTTAATCTTTTGACTTAAAACGAGATCTACGCGAGTCGCTTGATCTCGAAGATCTTTAGTAGAATTTTTATATATAGAATCTAAAGTGGATCTTAAATTTGCAGACCTTTGCTTTGCTGCTTCTGCATCAGTTAAACTTTCTCGTGTGTAATGTTCATAGCTTGAAGGTGTTGATTGTCTAATGAAGAAAATTAATATAAATTTTAAGATCTACTTTAAATGAGTACTAAATTAAAAAAATTCATTTGATATATACTCTGCAGGAAATCTTGTAGCTCCAAGTTTCCATAAAATGATAAGGGAATCATTTTTTAATTTTATATTGTGGGAATCAATATTATAAGCATCAGTTTTATCAGTCCAATCAATTTCCATTCTTATTTTCGCAGCTTTTAATTCGGTTAATTGCATTTCTATCTGTTCCCGAATTCTACCAAGTAACTCGCGTATCTCTGAGCAAAGTGCTACTTCCTGTAATAATTGATAGGTATTGCTAATATATATTTCACTATACGTTTGTTATATTATTAATGATGTTAACTTTGGTAAGTTCTTCTTCTACTTCATCTCTAATAAGATCGGATTCTAATCGTTTTGATCGTAACTGTAAGAATTCGCCAGCAATCGATTCTGGAACTGTAAGCAGCGACAAAGAATGCTTTACTCTCCGATGTTCAGCTTGTAATAATTCTATTTCATTCGTGATCTCAAGTATTAAGTGTTCTAGTTCAATTTTCCAACGATATACTTCACTTGAACGATTTTTTAAATGATCTGTTGTTTCGAATTGCACCTTATCCGCTTCTCTATACAATTTTTCAACACATCGTTTTGCATTATTTACAGCAAGCCTAAAATAATATGTTGTTTTATTATTATTTGAATTAAATTGCATTAAAAAAATAAGAAATTATATTAATGTAGAAATTTCTTTGCATACTGCGCTTCTCGAATCTTTTCATCTGATTGTTTAAAACATTTCTGATTATGAGCTCTCCACTGAGGTGCTCCAAAGGTAGTTATGGAATATCGATCAACAACTGGTCTAATTCCAGTTAAACTATCTTGAGGTGTAAAATTAACACGACCGGTTGCCCATGGGCCAATCGCATCCATTTGTTTTTCTGGTTGTGCTGGAAGTTCATCTCCTGGTTGAGGAAAATACGGAGGTGACCCTTCAATTTTTTGAGTATAATCTATCTTGGGACAAGGCTGTATAAATTTGTTAAAAAAATATTCAGAAACTTATTTAAAATTAATTTTAAAATTAATTAAATCGAAATCTTTTTCTTTTTTTCTTAAGCCATTTAGATAATATGAAAATTATATAAATTATTTTAAACTAAAATTTACCGTGTCCTGAGTTTCATCCAATTTAGTAGACTCTTGTTTAGTATTCATATTGAATGTTTACCCAATAAATCAGTACTAAATTTATTAGTTTTAGATATAATAATTGTAATATTTTAACGGTTTTCAAAATTATATTAGAACAAATTTTTATAGTTTATTACGAATGATTTTTATAACTGTTTTGTGTCACAATAATTCTTGTTAACATACGTATTAATATACGTATGTACAGAAAAGTATACGAAATATATCGATTTAATAATTCACAGCAACGGGATTTTATTTATATTTATTAATTAAATAAGTTTTACTAATGATTTTGGTTGGATTATTATTAATTATTTCTACATTTATATTATAAGTCTCTGTAAAGTATAAATTTTTATAAACCATAGGAATTTAACTGTGCTTGCAACTTGGTTGAATATCTACAGATTTATCTCGTATGAGATACGAATTAATCACATGACTCATACATATCTCACATTGCCAAACAAACTTCAGCCAAGTAACTAAGTTATTTAATTAATTTTTGCTAAAAAATTAAAGTTTTGACAGATTTTGTGTAACTGTTATTATAAAAAAATATTTATTATAAAAATATATTTTTGTTTGTCCTAAGTATTTTCATAGATGCAGTTAGTCGACTTCAATAAAAACTAATTTTTCATTTTTAAAATAACATCTTATGGAAACAAACAAATTATTAATATTATGTGTTATCAAACAGATAAAGAAGTATTTAACGCTCTGTTCTAGATAATTTGAAACATTTATTATCACTTTACGGTGAGGAAATATACCAGCAAGAATGAATCGCAAGGTCCCAGATATTAAATACACTCAGGTAAATTCTTTAATTTAAAAAAATATAATTTTAAATAAGTCTTGTGAAATTTATGTAATCTATGTTTTATAATAAGAAGTTACAGTAAATAATTATAGATGTTGAGACCAGATATTAATAAAAGACATAATAATACAATTTGTTTTAATATTAATATCATATATTTTCAGTTATTTATAAATAACGAATTTGTGGATTCAGTAAGTTATAAAAAATTCCCTACTATAAATCCAGCTGATGGCACCATTATTGCACAAATCTCTGAAGGTGATAAGGTATACTTTTATTTTATAATCTTTGTTATTATAACGGAACTTTTTTCACATCAAAATTATCTTAAGTGGTTACTTTGTTTTATATAGGCAGATGTAGACAAAGCAGTTGCAGCTGCAAATCAAGCATTTAGTAGAGGATCAGAATGGCGAAATATGGATGCATCTGCTCGTGGAAAACTTATGAACAAAGTATATTATAATTGCATAATATTTTGTATATATAATTAACTAAATTGTTACACCTTTAAATTTTATATATATTTTTCAATTATAATATTATAATTTTGCCTATATACAGTTTGCAGAGCTTATTGCAAGAGATTTAGAATACATTGCCACACTTGAAACTTTAGATAATGGAAAAGCATATTCAAATGCAATTTTTGATATAGAGTGTAGTATAGATACAATTCGTTATTATGCTGGCTGGTGTGACAAAATTTTTGGAGATACTATTCCAGCAGGTATGTTTAATATTTGTAAATCAGTGATAAGTATTTCATAAATGTTCATGAATAATATTTATTATTTAGATGGAAATCTTGTCTCACTTACGCGCAAGGAACCAGTTGGTGTAGTAGGTCAAATTATCCCTTGGAATTATCCTTTTCTTATGTTGGCCTGGAAATGGGGTCCAGCTTTGGCTACTGGATGTACTATTGTTTTAAAGCCAGCAGAACAAACTCCTTTAACTGCCCTCTATGCTGCAGCACTTGCTAAAGAGGCTGGATTTCCACCTGGTGTTGTAAATGTTATCACTGGTTATGGTCCAACAGCTGGTGCAGCTATTGCTGAACATTCAGGAATTCAAAAAGTTGCATTCACTGGATCTACAGAGGTATCTACGATTTTTATACTTATTCATAAAGGTATATTACATTTTATATTTTGTTTATAGGTTGGTCGTCTTATAATGGCAGCTTCTTCTAAAAGTAATCTTAAACGTGTTTCTCTTGAACTGGGTGGCAAGAGTCCATTAGTTATTTTTGATGACGTTGATGGTGATGAGATGATATTAATTATTAACGTATTCATGTATGAAAGAAAATTAATAAGTACATATTATTTATAGTTAAGGAAGCAGCTGAAATTGCTTACAATGCAATATTTGCGAATCATGGACAGAATTGTTGTGCTGGTTCACGTACTTTTGTACATGCTAAAATTTATGATCAATTTGTTACTTATGCTAAACAATTGGCATTGAAAACAATAGTTGGTGATCCTTTTGACTCTGAAACTCAACAAGGACCACAAATTGATCAAGAAATGTTTGATAAAGTATTAGGTTTAATTAAATCAGGAAAAGAAGAAGGAGCTATGTTAGAAACTGGCGGGGAACGTCAAGGCAGTGTTGGTTATTTTATTAAGGTATAATTTTTTATGTTGGTAACTTTTGCATCATTTGTATAATTATTTTCTACAGATATTTTAATTTTAATTTAAGCCTACCGTTTTTTCAAATGTGACTGACAATATGAGAATTGCGAAGGAAGAAATATTTGGACCTGTTCAATCTATTTTAAAATTTGAAACAATGGACGAAGTAATTGAACGTGCAAACAATACAAATTATGGTCTTGCTGCCGGTGTTCTTAGTAAAAACATTGATAAAGCATTAGTATTTGCACAAGCAATACAAGCTGGAAGCGTCTGGTAAAAATTTTTAAGACAAATTCTGCGTTTATTCATAGTATTCAATTAAACATTATTTTTAAAAAATTATTATTCAATAGGATAAACTGTTATGATGCTATCACACCTCAAACTCCATTTGGTGGATTCAAACAATCAGGAATAGGTCGTGAACTGTAAGTTCGTAATTACTTAACTAAAACAATTAATAACAAAATATATATGTTTAATTTTATATTTCAGTGGTGCAGAAGGATTAAAAGAGTATCTTGAGACTAAAACAATTTCTATTAAAATCCCAACGCGTAATTAAGAATATTATGTACAGTTACCTGTACATTGCATTTTGTTATATGAAGTTTATATAAATTTATATTTTAATAAAATTATTGTGCTTATTTTGAGTATTCTATTTACATGTATACACATATATGCATGTATACATCTATTTATACATATACACACACATACACATGTAGAAATTATTAAATTGTAATATAATGATCAATAACAAATTCAATTTTTAATCACATAATTCATATGATTTATTAGAAATATATTATAGACAAACTTTTACTCTCTACCAATTTTCTATACATAATGTATTTAATGTGTTCTTATGTGGTTACAATTTATTATTTAAATACATCAAAATCTCTGATGTATATATATTAGAGTTTCAATATTACAAAAAATATCTATTTGACTATTTAATCAGGTGGAATTCCTAATTCTTCATCACTCCAATCTATTGGACGTATATCAGGATAATGACCCTAAAATATTAATTACTGTAGGTATTAACAAATTTTTAAATAAAATTTCTAAGAAATAATTATGTCACTTACAGTAATATGCTCATAATCATGCCAAGCATTCCAAAAGATCCACCACCATGCCATTCCAGCCCATATTTCTGACAGTACTACCCATTTTGTTTCATGTACAGGAGCTGTACGATAGGCAAAACTAGAACAATATTAGATTGCTCTTTTGAGACAACAAATTCACAATAAATTTTCAAATGAAATAAATTATATATATTCATAACATATGAATTAAATTATATATATTCATTGCATATGAATTAAATTATATATATTCATTGCATATGAATTAAATAATATTGTTATATATATATTTACTTACATATTTGTATGCACATATATGAGAATTATTTATAATTTTTTTTATATTTTTGAACGTATTTTATAAATATTAAAAATTCTTATTAAATATAAACCTAACCTCTTTTCAAGTAAACGTTATATAATATACATACAGACTTACCATGTACGGATCTGTTGTAAATTTATTGCAGTCTGTTTCCTTCCACTTGATTCACATACGCTTTTCAAAATTGTTGTGCAACGTGACAACAACATTTCTTAACAAAAACTTTCTCAATATTATTTTAATTAATGAGTTTGAACTCCCTTTGTGAACGAAACGAACTCTGTCGGAGATACAAAGAAACTGGCATAAAACTGAAGTTGTTTCTATCTTTCTACATACTTCAGAGCTATACTGCCTAAATCCTTTATTTCATAGCAGAGCTGTAAAAATATATTTATATATTTTTTATATAAAAATATATTAATTTTGCAATTTTTCTAAAGTACTTTTATTTTTAGTAGTATAATTATTTGAGTGTACAAAAAACAAGATAGTTAAAAGGAACAAAGTGTAAAAAGAAAAGAAAAAAAGAAAATAATTATAAAAAGAAAATAGATAAAAATGGAAGAAAAGACATAAGAGCAAGAAAAGGAGGAAAGGAGCCATATTAGTAGAACAGTATTCAGTGTTATATACACTGAATAGATACTTACAAATATTTGTAAATGTCATGAAAGACTTTGTTTTATAATATATAATTGTTTAGTAATTATAAATTATATTTAGTTTAATGCAATTAATCACTTTTTATGTATTTGAATATTTTTTATATTATAAGATTGCAGCTCGCGATTTCAACAATATGGTGATGGGAACTTATTTCACTGAATGAGTTTTAATTAGAAATTTTTTGAAATCATTTTTATAATACATTATAATATTATTTAAAATCTAAATTAATTTCTCTCGAAGAAAATTACGAAACGGAATAACTTGTCTGAGGTAACATTGCACTTACAATAGTTTATAATTAAGATTAAATTTTCTAAAACGAAAACAAAATTTAATTATAAATTTATTTTTTAACAGCAATTGAAGTTTAGAAACATAATTGACAACAACAGTTAACTTGAGTTGTCACTTGTATCACTATTGTATAACTTTTACATTACTCTCTAATTTGCTAAGAGATATTTATAATTTTATTTAATTAATAATTTTAATATACAAAATTATTTGACCAAGAGTGTAACAGTAAGTCAAATTATTTTTATTTTAAAATCCTAATAAGAGTAATTTACTTGGCGAGAAAATATTCAGATATTTCAGTCCTTTTCTGTTTTCAATTGTTTCAGATATTACAGTATGTTAATTAAATTATTTTAACAAAAATTTAAAGAACATCGTGCAAGATTATCAATAATATCTGCAAACAAATTTTTTACTTAAGGACTTCGAATAACTTTCACCAAAAATAACATTCACCAAAACGGTACATTTTCGTATGTAACGAACTTGGCTTCGTCTGTCTTTCTTCGTGACTGGCTTTTTATGAGATTAATTTAAGAGAACTTAACATCTGATGAAAGTCGTTCAAACATATCAGCTGCGAGATATTTGCCATTATGGTTGAAACGAGCAGACTTCAAAAAGCGAGGGGTAACCTCGCGAGCTGGCTGATTCTCATTGGTCTATCGGAGGGTTTACGATTTGTGATGAACCATCTGGTTCACGGTAGCAACCCCTGAAGAAACTCACGTCATTGGTCTTCCTATCGTAACTTCTCCCCAACGTGTGCCTTAATAAAAACTTTTATAGTGGCTGCCGACCAATATCTTTTCCCGACAAAATGCAAGCTTTCAAGTAAGTACATGGGATTCGTTCTAGTAATTGTCTAGGTATATATTTTCTAAATGAATTATGAAGATATTACAATGAAAAATAATGATTTTAAAGAATGCGATAAGTTACCAATATTTCTTGCTTATATTGGTATAAATTAAATGTTGATAATTCTTATAACAAATTAATGCAATGTTTGAGAGAACTAACGTTTTTCGAATTATATTAAATATATACTTAGACATTGTATTTATCACAATCTAATGCTCCATATTTCTTAATTTACTTAAAATCATTATTTTTTACTTAAAATCAATATTACAGATAATATTCAATCAGTAGTAGTAGTGATAAATAGTAGATACCTTACTAAACTAGAATTTAGTAAAGACTTAACTAAGAGTTTAACTAAAGATGTAATCGTTTAACTAAAGACTCTTTGTTAAAATAATCGATAAGTGAGATAAGTTAGATTTTCTCAATATAATACACAATAAATAAGATCACAGAATCCCCGCAAATTAAATTTTCTTCGTCGTAGAATAAAATTTCATATTAAGATCAAAGTCGAATTGTTACACGTTCATGCATATATTACATTTCGTGATATTGCATCCTGATTGCCGATTTATAATTTTACTATCGCAATGATAGACCAGTGTTTACAGGTCTTTTCGAGAGACTGGAATTTATTGATGATTCGTTGGAAGGACTCGCGGTACATTTTACGATACCACTTGGAGGATTTTTATCTGGCCACCCGGCAGCTTTTATCATTTGAAAAACGCACCGTTTGCTGTTTTTCCTTTATCGTCCAATAAATTCAGTTGTATTGCAAATTTCTGGCTACGCGAAAAGTCATTCTTCCGTTATCGGACACACTCCAAGTAGAGGTAACGATATTCTGACAATTCATTTCTCGGATAGCCTGTTTAGTAAAGAAAAAAGTGTAGGTAGATTTTCATTGTATTGATTATTTCTTTATTTGCAGAACAGCGTTGAGAATGATTAAATGACTTTATCGATAATGAAACAAAGTTCAAATTTTCTAACGAAAGAAACATTTTCTCTGTAGAGAGAAATTTACATGTCTTATAAAAGATGATCTAGAAGATTGTCTAATGAATACAAAAACATTAAATTACGTAAAATGCTTTAAATTAAAGTAAGTACTTTACATATAATTGTAACTTTTTATTTTAATAGAAACTAATACTCCGTGAAAATAGTTGATATTTATGAGTAAAAAGGAAAACAAAGATAGTTCAATTTCATTTATTTCATGTATGAAAAATAAAATTATTCCACTGATAAGAGAGAAGGCTTGTATACTGAAAAATTCATACAAAAATAAATTTCTTTTTCATTTCAAAAAAGTTTAAAAATTATATCAAATAATGTATAGCGCTGTGCATTTAAATCAGAATATTTCTTTTGCTGATGAATTTTCAAATCTTTAATTTGTTTTTTACTTTTTTATGGTGTTATCTACATTTTAATATCATCTTTTCATTACTCACATCATTGAATTGCAGATAAATTAATAAATAGACGTGGTCTGTGTTTTAATGGCTGACGTAAAGGAAGAAGCATTTTGCGTTACATCAGTCGGCCACGTTATCTCGAGCACACCCTTCGTGATAGTTTCACCCTCTTTTCGTACCGCCCCTTCTATTCCCAGTGTAAGCGTTTCCCGAGGGTTATATCAAAAGCTAGAGGGTGTTTCCATGGATACACGTACAGCCATGTTGGTTCAGGAGCATGAGAGAGGAAGGTCTGTGAAAAATTCGATAATTCCAGACTGCTTCGAAATGGCGATGTGCGTTCTTTGAGGAATTTTTAAATAAATATAATTATTTCATTTCGTGTTTTGATTTAAACAATAATTTATCGAGAAATTTACACAAAGTTATACTTATATTTTTCTTTTAATTAACTTTAAAGTACTATATTAAAACTTCAGTTATTATAAAAGATCTCACAGATCTCTAATATTTATTGTATAATTCAATAAATATCGAATATTTCAATAAACATTCGATAAATGTTCTTGCTTTATATATTAATGATAAAGAGTTTCAAGTGTAATTGAACAATAGAAAATATATTGAAAAATATAAAATAATGTAGGAAGAAAAGTAAAAATTGGAAGCTGTCTATAGTATAATTAAGAACGTTTCAAATGTAGACCTTATATGCAACTATTTTTCACTTCATTCTTCAAACAGATTCTTGTGCATATCTTGATTCAATCTTTCTTAATCACTGTAAAAACATCACTTGTTGTTTGTTTTAAACTGAAAAAATTAAATTATTACAGAGAAGATTTTATTAATTCACACACGATAAATACGAAAAGAAGATGCGAATATATTTGATGTTACACAACATGCATCTAACTCAACCACCGAATCGAAACAAACTGGTACCGAGGAGAATCGAAGACGAAAACGAACCCTGAAAAAAGGTAAAAAAGATAATAAAACGGGGCCGAGGCAAAGCCGCAACAAAAATTTTAAAATATAACATAGAGATGCATGTCTTTGAGGTACAGGTATCACGACGTGGGAATTTTTCGACGAAAGGATTTAGATGAATGGACCGTCAGAATTATGTTTTTATTGCACCTATAGAATGGTTATTGTGAAAACTTTCGAAGAGGAGATGCAGCTGGAGCAGAGTACAGTTAAAGTATATCAAAATATCCGAAAGAATCTAATATAAAATAGGAAGAAGTTCAAGAAATTTGTAATTCTTTTAACTATAAAGAAAATAGGGTAATTATATGAAACGTGAGAATTTTTATTGATTATGTTTATGATTGTAACAAGTTAGTATTGAACTTATATATTTACAATTGAAATTTAAATTAAATATTACATTAAAGTCAAATTATTAAAAATCACATTTTTAATATAAATACATACGTAAATAATATGTATAAATTTCATTTGTGTGTACCTAAATAAGTAGATATACTTATTTAAGTGGCACCTCTATCTACTTAAATAATATATTCTATGAAATACTACTCTTTACTTTATTCCAGTAATAACTATGATTATTAAGTGATTACTAAATTAATACTTGTTCGAGTGAGGTGTTTCATTTTTTACAGTTAGGTAGAATGAAAATCAAGGAAAATGTGAGCACGAAAGCATGAGGAAGATGTTGGATGGGAGTAGTTTATAACGCTCTTCTTTACACGCTAATATCTTCTGTTTCCTTGGAAACGATCGCAGAATTCGCTCCTCCAGCAGTAACGTCCGCCAATATGTCTCCCTTAAAAGCGTCAGGACAGCGACCGTTGCCTCTGTATGCTACTGAAGAAGTAACAGCTGCTGAATTGTCTGCCAATCCATTCGGAGTACTGGTAAAAATAATGGTCACTGTTTTTTTGAGACATTAATCGTGTATTTAATCGTAAAATTGTTCATCAAATCTCTTGAAATAAATCTTGAAATAGGTTTATGAACTATCTTATTCCAATTTTCTCCGCGATAGTTATGTTCTAATATTACGTAAAGCGTTTTATTTTAACTA